TTGCCAGCCGCGCAACTGTCGGCACTTTCACGGGTTCTTGGGAGGACCAGCGGAGCGGAGTGCGAAGTGATTGTCGGCACCACGCAGTGGACACTTCGACGGAATGGATGGCAAGATCGGCAATGGCAGGTGAGCAACGGAACGCGCTGGCCAGCGCCTCCGAGCGCCGGGAGCATCCTCAAGGGCTGCGCGGGGAGAGCAGCGTGTGGATGCCGTCAAAGGGTGGACGACACGAGCAGCGCGGGGATGTCTCCAAGGGTTGGATGGCAGGAGCAACCTCGGAAGACACGCGGGAGCAAGGGGGCCCCTGGGTGCTTGCGAGCGCCCGCGCCCCCTCCGCGGCAGGCCTCCCCCCGCGAGCATGCTGCCCTGAGATGCGACGTTGCAAAAACATGGCAACATCGCAAAAAATCACGCCGCAAAGCCCTGGACCCCATCTTCCTGCGTCATTTCTCGAGCCGGATCGATCTATGAGAGCCCGAGCGAAAACGCCTGTTGTGAAAAAATTGCCACGCCAGGCTCTCAAGGGAGAGCGCTGCGCCCTGCGCGATCGGTTTCTGGGCCCCGCCGCGCCGCCCCCCGCGGGATGCTGCCGCCGGCCCGGGTCGGAGCCCTCGGCGGCCGGCCTGCGGGTCGCGGGTCCGACGACGACGACGACGACGACGACGACGACGACGACGAGGCCAACGAGGACGACGACGACGTCGACGACGACGACGACGTGAACGAAACAACCTGATCTGCGATGGAGTCGTCCCCGCCCCCGGATGCGCTCAGGCAAGCCTCGCCGAGGGCGCTGCAGGGGTGCCAGAATCGTCCCGAACGGCCGTCAGAAGCCGGAGCTGAGGCCAGAAAATCACTCGAATGAGACAGGTCGGGAATCACAGCAGGTTCGTTTTTGGAGGCGTTCGTCACCCCTTAGCGACGACGACGACGATGACGACGACGACGACGACGACGACGACGACGACGACGACGACGACGAGGCCAACGAGGACGAAGACGACGTCGACGACGACTTGAACGAAACAACCTGATCTGCGATGGAGTCGTCCCCGCCCCGGGATGCGCTCAGGCAGCCGCGCCTCGCCGAGGGCGCTGCAGGGGTGCCAGAATCGTCCCGAACGGCCGTCAGAAGCCGGAGCCGAGGCCAGAAAACCATTCAATGAGACGGGTCGGGCATCACAGCAGGTTCGTTTTTTGAGGCGTTCGTCACCCCTTAGCCATCTGGAGCGCTCCCGCAGCCACGGCTGGGTCCGCCTCAGGAGGCCCCAGGAAGCTTCAGGAAGCCCTCAAGCGTCAGGAGACTCCAGGAGGGCCCCTGAGGTTCCAGAAGGCCCCACGGGGCCTCAGGATGCCCCAGGAAGCCACAGGAGGCCCCAGGAGGCTCCAGGAAGCCCCAGGAGGCACCAGGACGCCTCAGGAGGCCCGAGGGGGCCCGAGGAAGCCCCAGGAGGCCCCACGAAACACCAGGAGGCCCCAGGAGGCCCCACGGACCCCCAGGCGCCCATGGGATTCATGGGAGTGCACAAGGAGGCGTCCAGGAGGCCCCAACTTTTTACTGTTTTTTCTGATGGGAAGGTTTGGATGGGCGGGCGCGGGGTGTGCGCCGCGTCCCACCCCTGCCACGCATTTTTGCATTGGCGTTTGCAGATCAGGATGGGAGGGATTGGATGGGCGGGCGCGGGGTATGCGCCGCGTCCCATTCCTGCCTGCATTTTGCGACGTGGTCGACAGGACGTCCAAGCTGAGAGGAAAAACGATGATTTTGTATTGTATTTTGGAGGTTAGGATGGGACCCCCCTGGAAAACGCGCGCGGCGCCGAGGCGAGAGCGACATGTCACCCTTTGGCGCGGGATGTGCGCCGCGTCCCACTCCTGCCATGCATTTTGCGACGTGGACGACAGGACGTCCATGCGACGGTGCCAATGATGGCGACGACTCTAGAAGGATTTGAGCATGCGCTCGCGGCGACGCGCGCGCATGTCGCCCGCGTGGTTTTTTTGCACAGGATTCGCGGCCTGGGTGCATGACAGAGCATCGCGAGTGCACCGCGCGGTGACGTGAAATCGCTGGATTTGACAGAATTCTTAAGATTCCTATGGTTTTCCTATGATTTCAACAAGACAGCCCGGGCAGGAAATTTGTAGAATTTTTGTACAAAAAGCGTATGGTTTTGATGTTTTTATGTCGAAATGCTTGCAAACACAGAGAGGCCTCACGAGAAGGCCCCAGGAGGCCCCAAGGGACCCCATGCGCCCATACGATTCATGGGATTGCATTAGGAGGCGTCCAGAAGGCCCCAACTTGTATTGTTTTTTATAGCGGGGGGGGTTGGATGGGCGGGCGCGGGGTGCGCGCCGCATCCCATTCCTGCCAAGCATTTTGCGACGTGGACGACAGGACGTCCATGCTGAGAGGAAAAACGTTGGTGCGCGGCGCCGAGGCGAGAGCGACATGTCACCCCTTCGCGCGGGGTGCGCGCCGCGTCCCATTCCTGCCACGCATTTTGCGACGTGACGACAGCACGACCATGTTGACAAGAAAAACAAAAACTGTGTATTGTCTTTTGCAGATTAGAATGGGACGGATTGGATGGGCGGGCGCGGGGTGTGCGCCGCGTCCCATTCCTGCCATGCATTTTGCGACGTGGACGACAGGACGTCCATGCGACGGTGCCAATGACGGCGACGACTCTAGAAGGATTTGAGCATGCGCTCGCGGCGACGCGCGCGCATGTCGCCCGCGTGGTGTTTTTTGCACAGGATTCGCGGCCCGGGTGCATGACAGAGCATCGCGAGTGCACCGCGCGATGACGTGAAATCGCTGGATTTGACCGAATTCTTAAGATTCCTATGGTTTTCCTATGATTTCAGCAAGAGAGCCCGGGCAGGAAATTTGTAGAATTTTTGTGAAAAAGCATTGGGTTTTTGATGTTTTTATGTTGAAATGCTTGCAAACACACGGTGTTCGGTAGGATTCTGACATGAACGCGCGCGTGTGCTCTTTGTGGTATTTTTTGCAATGGATTATCGCCGTGGACGACAGGACGTCCATGTCGAGAGGAAAAAATAAGAAACATGTTGATTTTGTATTGTTTTTTACAGGTTAGGATGGGACCACCCGGATGCGGCCCCTATGCCGGCCTGAGGGGGGAGTAGGAGTATATTCTAATAAGGAATAAGGATAGGAGTAGGAGTAGGAGTAGGAGTCAAGCTAGCCAGCTCGAGCGAGTCAAGCATGGCATGCCCAGTCCCACCCGCCCTCCCACAACATAAGAAGCAAAGCTGGCACAACTGGGGGCCGAAGTCACACCGGCCAGCCGGTTTGGTACAGCTGATGCGGCCGCGATGGCGGTTGCCGACGGGAACTGGCGAGCGCGTGTTGAATGCCGCGCACGCATTGCCAGACGAGTCGAGAATGGCCCGGTACACCGCAGGAAGCCAGAGGTGGCCGGAGGAAGCCCGACGGTCTGACAGGACACCCCAAGGGGGCCCAGGAGGCCCCAAGAGGCAGGAGTAGTAGTACCAGTGGTAGTGGTGTTGGTAGTGGTAGTGGTAGTAGTAGTACCATGTCACCCCTTCGCGCGGGGTGTGCGCCGCGTCCCATTCCTGCCACGCATTTTGCGACGTGACGACAGCACGACCATGTTGACAAGAAAAACAAAACTGTGTATTGTCTTTTGCAGATTAGAATGGGACGGATTGGATGGGCGGGCGCGGGGTGTGCGCCGCGTCCCATTCCTGCCATGCATTTTGCGACGTGGACGACAGGACGTCCATGCGACGGTGCCAATGACGGCGACGACTCTAGAAGGATTTGAGCATGCGCTCGCGGCGACGCGCGCGCATGTCGCCCGCGTGGTATTTTTTGCACAGGATTCGCGGCCTGGGTGCATGACAGAGCATCGCGAGTGCACCGCGCGATGACGTGAAATCGCTGGATTTGACAGAATTCTTAAGATTCCTATGGTTTTCCTATGATTTCAGCAAGAGAGCCCGGGCAGGAAATTTGTAGAATTTTTGTGAAAAAGCATTGGGTTTTTGATGTTTTTATGTTGAAATGCTTGCAAACACACGGTGTTCGGTAGGATTCTGACATGAACGCGCGCGTGTGCTCTTTGTGGTATTTTTTGCAATGGATTATCGCCGTGGACGACAGGACGTCCACGTCGAGAGGAAAAAATAAGAAAAATGTTGATTTTGTATTGTTTTTTACAGGTTAGGATGGGACCACCCGGATGTGGCCCCTATCGGCCGGCCTGAGGGGGGGGTAGGAGTACATTCCAATAAAGAACAAGGATAGGAGTAGGAGTAGTAGTAGCAGCAGAAATTGTAGAAGTAGTAGTAGTTGAATGTAGTAGTATCTATAGTTGTAGTAGGAAAAGTGGTCGTAGTAGTAGTAGTAGTAGTAGTAGTAGTAGTAGTAGTAGTAGTAGTAGTAGTAGTAGTAGTAGTCGTGGTGGTGGTGGTGGTGGTGGTGGTGGTGGTGGTGGTGGTGGTGGTGGTGGTGGTAGTAGTAGTAGTAGTAGTAGTAGTAGTAGTAGTAGTAGTAGTAGTAGTAGTAGTAGTAGTAGTAGTAGTAGTAGTAGTAGCAATAGTAGCAGTAGCAGTAGCAGTAGCAGTAGCAGTAGCAGTAGCAGTAGCAGTAGCAGTAGCAGTAGTAGTACCGCCTCGCTACACGGCAGGTGGGGGGTTGGCCGAGCCGACCCAACCCCCAACCTGAAGGACCGTCCAGTCCAGCTCAGGCGCCCTTGGCACCCTAGAGCAGAGCCTCGCGGGCCCCGAGACCTTGTCGGAGCCCTCAAGAGGTCAGAGGCCCCCAACCCTCAAGGTTGGGGCCTCGCAAAACCTGCCACGCGGGCCCCGAGACCTTGTCGGAGCCCTCAGGAGGTCAGGGCCCCCAACCCTCTGAGTTGGGGCCTACCCAAGCCTGCAGAGGCCACTGCAAAGCACTAGGCCCTGCGCCGCAAGAGAAAAGAACGGCGCCTCCAACCATCTTAGTCGGAAGCCTCCCCTTCGAGCTCGTCGGGGTCTCCCTTGGACCTCCGATCGGCTCGCTGCATGGTCGACAGGGAAAGGAAGTCGGCCTCCTGCTCGGGCCCGACCCCGAAACGCAGCAGCGCTCGCGAGCGGGTCAGGCGCTGAGCAGGGCCCTGCTGCCCGCTGCCCGAGGCCCTGCTGGCCTCGGGGGCGGCGGCAGGCGCAAGCCTCTGGCTGAATTTCGCACGCCAAGCCTCAGAGGGAAAAAGCTGCTCCCCGAGGCGCCAGGCTCCACGCCCGCCCTTCACATTGGGGAAAAGCCCTTTGCGAATCCTATCGATCTGTGGCTCACGACCTGCTCCCGAGCCGCACGGCCCGAGGATGCCCTGCATGCGCTGGTGGGCGTAGGCGTAGCACTTCACACAGTGGACCATAGTGGTGCCGTCCGTACCTGGCCCCGTTACGGCTCGCTCGACGATCGAGTGGCCTCCGATCGACCACGGCTGCCGAGGTCGTCGAGCTGCAGGGGGCTCGTCGCCCTCAGCCGAGGCCCTCGCAGCCGCAAGGGCCGCTGCCGCCGCACCAGCAGCCCCCCAGGCGGCCTCGGCAGCGTGGCCCCCGCCGGTCGCGTGCTCCTCGTAGCCCGCCTCGGGCTCCGAGAACTCCAGGCTGACGTCGCTGCCATGGTCGAGCAGCTTCCGATCCGCCATGCGCGCGTGGAGCTTGCCCGTGAAGATCATCGCCTGCCGTGCGATGCGGTCGAGGCCGTAGGCAAAGTCCAGCTGGTCGTCGCCCAGCGCCAGCTTCGCTCCCTCCTTCGCCGCCTCGTCTGCGAGCATATTGCCTGCCCGCTGCCACCAGGTCGCGCGGTCTGCCTCCACGTCGGCGACGGAGGCGTGGGCCAGCACCTTGGTGACCGTGTAGCTGCGCGAGCCGTCGAAGGAGGCGTAGAAAGCGTTCCACAGGTGGGCCCTTGCCGACCCTGGGCGACATGCCCATGCTGCTCCCCTCTGGGCGCACGCCACCGCCCCAGCGCAGTCCGTCTGGAAGTCGACATGGCCCTCGCAGAGGAAGGCCGCCATGTGGCACGCGTAGTCCTCGCCATCTCTCGCCTCCTGCCGCGGCGCCATGGAGAGGGGCACCCATCCCCACGCAGCAGCCACAAGGCGCCCATGCCTGTCGCACTGCACGAGCGACCAGCCAGCACGCTGCAGATCGGGCCACCGCGTGCCCACAGAGCTGCCGTCCGTGAAGAAGATGAGGCCTGTGAGATACCCTGAGGCTGGGCGTCGATACCATCGCACTGGGCCCCCTTTCTGGGTCTCGCCCCGGGACCACGTGGTCGAGCGACGGGAAGAGGCACCTGGCGAACATCTCGCCGCAGTTCCCTCCAGCAGCTCGAGCCACCTCTGCGTGCCGAAGGAGCTCAGGTGGGGCCTCGTCCTTGCGATATGCCGCATGCCCATCGCAGCCGCACAGCCTGTGCCAGAGCGTGCCTGGCGCGCCCCTGCACATGAGGCAGTCCCACTCGGAGGCCAACCCTCTCTTGTAGAGCCGCGTCTGGGAGAGAACCGTGCCTGAAATGACCGAGTGAAGAGCCGCTCGCCGATGTTGCTGCCAGCCGAGCGACTCCTTGGACCTGCCGAGCCTCTGCAGCGAGCCCCAGTACAGGTCCGAGCTCTGGTGGGGGTACAGCCTGAAGGTGGCGTCGCGGTCGGACCACCTCTTGGCCGCCCCCTCTGCAAGCTCCTTGATGAAGTAGGGCGAGACTCTGGCCAGGTCGACCTCCCTTGGTCGGTGGTGACGTGCCTGCCGCCCTCGATGGTCCAGCCAAGCCTGGTGATGGTAAGGAAAAAGGCTGCCACGGGGTCTCTGCAGGTTGCCCAGGGCCGCTTTGCCGTCGAGAACCGCTGCTTGGCCTTCTCCAGCAGCGCGTTGAGGGCGAAAGGAGTGGGGTAGCCCAGCCAGAGCGCCATGCCGAACTGCAGCACCACCTGCCCTGCGCTCACCACCGCTGGGTCTCCCTCGACGCCTCTGGGGAAGCACCTCAGCCGCAGGCCGACCGAAGCACCTGGCGCTAGAGGCCCTTCTCCACGCGCTGCGGCTACTCGAAGCCCGCGCAGCACCGAGGGGGGCGAGGCCAGTCGTGGCCGAGCCCCAGGTGGCGGCTGCAGTTGGGCCTCCCCTCTGCACCGTGGCCACCTTCGCCCCAGCTGACTTCAGCACCTGCAGCCTCCGAGACCTTGCAAGAGCATCCTCGACCCGCTGTGCCCCGATGGCTGCGCGCCTCCAGCGCCCGTCATGTACGTCGTTGCCTAGCAGCCTGCCGCGCAGCGCCCTGCCGTCCTCAGCGGGCCACTCCGACTCCAGCTGCGTTGCCACCTCTGCGTCGGGGGTGAGGTAGCAGAGCTTCCCGAAGTGGACGGGCACCCGCTTCTCGTCGAAGCAGCCCAACAGCATGCGGGTGGCGGGGCCCAGCACTGCCTTGACCATGCCCGTTGTGCCCACAGTCTGGAGCGTGAAGTCGTCGACAACGCTGCCCAGTCGCACGCTGGGGTAGAAGGCCGCCACCTTCTTGAAAGAACGGAAGAGGAGCAGTTTGGCTATCCCAGCCGCGCAGGAGCAGCCTGCCAGCACCGTACCAGTAGCCCGAAAGGGCGAGCTGCATGCTCCGTCGACCGTGACGACCCTGTAGCCAGAATACGATACGCAGCATGCCCTGAGGAGCTTAACAGGAAAGCCCGTGGCCTGCGCCTCCACCAGGAGCTCCTTGTGGCTGATATTCTCGTAGAACTTCCGTAGGTCCCCGAGGACCGTGCCCGTGCTGAGGCCTTTCTCGTAGGCCAGGGCCGTGAGGGTCTGATGCACCCAACCTGCCCTCTCGCACGCGTTCAGCTCCCCGCCGATGTACCAAACCTCGTGGTGCTGAGCCTCCCAATTCCTGACGATGGGCCCTCGCAGGGCCGACCAGAGGCGAAGCTGGAGGCAGGTGAGAGCGATGGGCCTCCTGCCGCCGTCCGCCTTGGCGCGGAAGACGATGACCGCGAGCCAGTCCGAGTAGGCCTCGGGACCGTCCTCCCAGCTGGCCAGCACGTCGAGGAGCCTGTCTAGGAATGACTCGTCGAGGAGGAGCAGCTGCCGCGGGTGGAGCTGGTCCCAGCCCAGGCCTGCCCACCTCCCGTACCGCTTGAGCAGGTGCCTGAGGCTGTCCACCTCGAGCCTCGGCAGCGGCTCTGGCGCCTCCCAGCTGGCCGCTTCCTCGAGGCCTCCTCTGCGCCGAGGGTCCAGCCATAGCGGGAGCCACTCCTTGAGGCAATGCCGCACTGCCTCGTCGCCGTTGACTGGCAGGGCCCCCCCCTCGGCCTCGTCCTCCGTGACGAGGGTCGCCTTGGCCAGCGGCTCAGGCTTGGAGAAACGGTGAGCCAGCTTCCCCCCGCCTGTGGTCGAGCCTTTGGCCCAGTCCTGCCACTGCCTCCTGGCGGCAGCTGCGCCGCGGCGCCGGCAGGCCTGCTGCTGGGCCCGCGCATGCTCGATGAGCCTCCTCCTCAAGCCCGCGTCGCTGGAGGTCGCCGCAGCTCCGAGCGCAGCCCTGGGCGCAGGGGCCATGGTGCCGTCGTAGTCGCCAAGGCGCAGCGCTGCCAGGCGTGCACGCAGGCTGGCCACGCCCTGTAGGTCCTTCCCCCGTGCCACCAGCAGGTCTGCGCGCTGCAGCAGGCTGACCAGGCCGCCCCAGGCGTGGGTCTCCTGCGAGCTGAGTCGAGCCCAGCGGCGGCGGCTAGCGTCCGCGAGCGGCACGTTGACGAAGCGCACTCCGTCGCCCCTGCCAGCGAACTTCTGAGCCTCGTCCCCGTGTAGGTCGAAGAGTGGGAGAAGGTAACCCTCAGCGTGCCGTAGCCACTCCTGCATGGCATCTCGCGGCCTGGGGGGGGCCGCGCCCTCCTCCCAAGTCCAGGCAGGCAGCGGGACGCGGGGCAGACAGCCGATGGCCCGATCGAACGGCAGCCGCGCTGCCCGATGAAGTTGCTGCACCGCGGCGTCTGCATGCAGCCCTCGCGCCTCCAACAGGACGGGGCTGTGTGGCCCGAAGGGGGCCTCGACCACCGGCCCGTGGCTGAACACGAACTGCTGGAGCTCGTCGGAGATGACTGCGTAGTCGAGCTCGTGAAGCGCCCCCGCCCTGCAGGTCGCTGCACCTGTATGTAGCACGAGACCTCCAGCCGTCGCAGCCCACGCCGCGACCTGGAGGGGGTCCATGTTGAAATCGCCCGCCAGGATCCACGGCCGCACCGCCACCCTGAGCTGCGACGCAACCTCCCAGAGAATGTCTGCGTTGGCCTCGCTCATGCCCTCCCCGTCGCGGAGGTAGATGGACAGGAGATCGATGGCGAGCCCGTCGCCAATGTTGACCACCCGCCGCAGCACGCGGTGGGGCTGCTTGAAAGCGGTGTCGAGCGTGGCTGCCGCGAACCGCTGCCGCACTCCGATGCCTACCCCGCCTGAGACTGCCTGAGGCCCGTCCCCCGTGCTGAGTCCTGCGGCCAGGTCGAAGTCGAACCCGCGCTTCCGATGCCAGCGCTGGACTGCCTCCCTGCCAAAGGCCCGCACACGCGTCTCCTGCACGAAGGTGATGTCTGCGGCTGGCAGCCTCTTCGGCTCAGCCTCCACGAGGCTGTGCTGGCCGTCAAGCCAGTCGAGGAAGTCGCGATAGCCCTTCTCGGTGTTCGCGTTGACAGTGTATAGCCATACGCTATCAAACCCGAGGCCGCTTGAGCTGGGCCTCGATGATGTCGCTGAAGCGCTTGCGTCGCTGCTCGACGCTCTCGCCTTCTGGGGCGTCCTCCATGAGACAGTCGACAAGCTCGTCAGGGACGGGGACAGACACCCCCCCCGACCCTGCGCTGCCTGGGACACCCTCGTGTGGATCCCCGCTGCCTGGGACAGCAGCGTCATCACCATCGCCATCGCCAGTAGCAGCGTCGTCCGCTGCCTCCAGGGTCTCCTGCTCCTTCTTGACGACGTCCTGCAGCTGGATGAGGCCCTGCAGCACGGCCTGGTTCTCCACAGCCGTAGCCTTGAACTGCTCCAGCCTTGGCCAGGCCCCTGAGCCCGTCGCCGAGGACGCCAGCGGCATGGCGGGACTCGATCTCGGCGTCCGCCGCCTGCAGCTTGCACTTGAGCTCGGCGGCCGAATCCTTGGCCTCGCAGATCCTCTGGTCGAGCTTGCCGCGCTGGTCCTCGAGCTCCGCCACCATGGCGAGGGCCTTCTGGAGCTGGCCCCCGAGCTTCCTGCGCTGCCCCTCCAAGGCTGGGAGGCTCTTGGGCTTGGGCGGCTCAGAGTACTTGGCCTCGACGGCCTTGACGCAGCTCGTGGCCTGCTCACCTCGCCCAAGCTTCTGCAGCTCCTCCTTGAGGTCGCTGAGTGCAGTGAGCTTGGCCTTGGCGCTGTCGGCCTTGAGTGCCTCGACTTGCTGCCGCAGGGCCGCCAGCTCGCTGTCCTGCCTCTGGAGCTTGTCGTGCTCCCAGGGGGCCAGCTTCTGCCGCGCCCATGCACCGCGGGGCTGCGGGTGGCTGTCGGGCTTGGGCCCACCCTTGAGCGCCTCCTTGTGAGCCTTCCTGGCGGCGTCCTCGACCTTGGTGGAGCAACGCCGGTCGCACTCACGGCACCTGAGCCTGCTGGCCCAGTTGGATGCGCAGCCGCAGGAGCACAGCCACAGCGGTGACTTGGGCCCGCGGAGCACCACCGCTGCTCCCTCGGCGCCTCCACGCCCATGGCTGCCCATAGCGCGCGAGGACTGGGGCGGCAGACTTGATCGCACTGAATCGCGAAAGAGGATCTTGGCTCCGCCAGCACTCCCTCAGAGTGCTCGCAGCGCCACGACGTGACTTGCACCCGCTAGGAATGCATGGCCTTGAGCCAAAATGGCTACGGAGTAGTAGTAGTAGTAGCAGTAGTAGTAGTAGTAGTAGTAGTAGTAGTAGTAGTAGTAGTAGTAGTAGTAGTAGTAGTAGTAGTAGTAATAGTAGTAGTAGTAGTTAGTAGCTAGTAGTTAGTAGTTAGTAGTTAGTGGCTAGTATTTAGTAGTTAGTAGTTAGAAGTAGTAGTAGTAGTAGTAGTAGTAGTAGTAGTAGTAGTAGTAGTAGTAGTAGTAGTAGTAGTAGTAGTAGTAGTAGTAGTAGTAGTAGTGGTAGTAGTATTAGTAGTAGTAGTAGTAGTAGTAGTTAGTAGTTAGTAGTAGTTAGTAGTAGCTAGTAGTTAGTAGAAAGTAGAAAGTATAAAGTAGTTAGTAGTTAGTACTTAGTAGTTAGTCGTAGTAGTAGTAGTAGTAGTAGTAGTAGTAGTAGTAGCGCCAGAACCGCCGACGCCACGCCGTAAGTGAAGCAGCAGCAGAAGCAGACAGCAAGTCGCCGAGACAGCAGCAAAGGCAAGCAGGCACGGAGATGAGGGCGGGGCACTGGGAGTTCTTTACATCTACATCTATATCTACACCTACATCTACATCGACACCTACATCTACATCTAGACCTACATCTACATCTACACCTACAGCTGCATCTACATCTACACCTGCATCTACATCTACATCTACATCAACAGCGAGACTCACATCTACATCTACACCTACATCTACACCTACATCTAAGGGCTCAAGATGGCCCACAGACGGACAACATGCGTGGAACAGACGTGCGCACACACACATATAGATAAGTACATATATGTATATAGCAGCAATAGTGGATGCTGTGCTGCGCTATGCTATGCTATACTATGCTAAGCTGCGCAATGCTATGCTGGGCTAGGCTAGGCTATGCTAGGCTATGCTATGCTGCGCTATGCTATGCTATGCTATGCTATGCTATGTTTTTGCTTTGCCTTCGCTTTTGCCTTCACTTTCGCCTTTGCTTTTGCTTGGCACCGAGGGAGCGCAACTGGGGGAACCGCGCGTTTGCTTTTACCTTTGCTGTTGCCTTTGCTTGGCTCCCAGGGGACTGGGGGAACCGCCCGGGGCGGTTTGCACTGCCCGGCCCCTTTAAGCCAAGCGAGTAAGAACCCTTCTAGGCAGAGCCTAGGTAGGGAATAACTGATCATAGTATAGCAGAACATCACATTCCATAATTTTAAATAGCATGGAATCAAAGATTAGACTTTGACATGCATCTGAGTGTGACCCTGGGTGAGGAAGAGGAGGAGGAGGAGGAGGAGGAGGAGGAGGAGGAGGAGGAGGAGGAGGAGGAGGAGCGGGAGGAGGGAGGTGAGTGGGCGGAGTGGGCGGTTCCGCCTCGGCGTGGTCGGAGCAATAAGAAGAAACCCATCTTTTGGTTATGGGGAAGAAGAACCCCATCCTTTTGGATATGGGGAAGAAACCCGGCACACCGTGAAACTGAAGTAAGTTCCGACACACACGTGTATTTTGTCATTATCACAGTGCGACCGTACCTAGGAGTTGGAGCCCCTAGGAAAGCAGCATTAGTAGTAACAGTAAAGCTAAGCTACAGCTAAGCTAAAGCTAAAGCTAAGCTAAAGCTAAGCTAAAGCTGAGCTAAAGCTGAGCTACAGCTGAGCTACAGCTAAGCTAAAGCTAAGCTAAAGCTAAGCTAAAGCTAAAACTAAGCTGAAGCTAAAGCTAAGCTAAAGCTAAGCTAACGCTAAGCTAACGCTAAGCTGAAGCTAAGCTAAAGCTAAGCCAACGCTAAACTTAAGCTAAGCTAAAGCTAGCTAAAGCTAAGCTAAATCTAAGCTAAAGCTAAGCTAAAGCTAAGCTAAAGCTAAGCTAAAGTTAAGCTAAAGCTGAGCTAAAGCTAAGCTAAAGCTAAGCTAATGCTAAGCTAAAGCTAAAGCTAAAGCTCCCAGGGGACTGGGGGAACCGCGGGGCGGGGACTGGGGGAACCGCCCGGGGCGCTTTCCACTGCCCGGCCCATTTAAGCTAGAGAGTAAGAACCCTTCTAGGCAGAGCCTAGGTAGGGAATTAGATGAAATCGTGTCTTGCCGACGAGGATGCGTTCGAATGTAATGAAGGGCTGCGGGTCCAGTATTGGCACCTTGTTTTCTTGGGTTGGAGAATAACATATCGAAACTGGGTGTGACGAGTTGATTGTCCCGAAGAGGAAGCACCCACTCACACGCACACCTGAGCAGCACAACTGCGAAAGTTGTATGTGCGCACATGTGTATAATGAAAAGCATACGATCGTGGCATGGTTTGAGTGGTGTCGATATGCTGAGCTGGAAACACAGCTTCATAATTTGCCCGACCTATACCCAATCCCAGTCTCCACACGAGGCGAAGTTTTGCAGAAACGCTCCATACGAAAGAACACGTCGCCAGATAGACATTATCTGCGCTGTCCTCGTCTCGCCGTGCCTCCCTGGAGCCAACGAAACTGGCGACAATCGCGCACTTCGTAGCCTCCCCGGGAGCCGCGAGGATTCGGGTGGATCCGCGTGGCCCCCGATTCCACTGAACCTCCCAAGAGCCCACGGAAGTGGTGACAGTTGCGCATTTCATAGCCTCCCAGGGAGCAACGAAGTCCCCGAAACTTGCGATGGATTCGCAGTTCGCAGCCCCCACGGACAGCGAGGTCTCATTCTGATGCGCGCAGGATGTCACTCTGATGGGGGCCTCAGCAGCCTTCGAAAGGGGCGACAGTTTCGCAGCTTGCAGCCCCCAGCGACGGCGATGCTGAATTCTGATGCGGTAGGTCGTCACTATGTTGGACCCCCCAGCAGCCCTCGAAAGCGGCAACAGTTTCGCAGTTCGCAGCACCCACGGACGGCGAGTTTTCAGTATGATGTGCGCAGGATGTCAACTTGATTAAAACCCCAGCAGCTTTCGAAAGCGGCAGCAATTTCATAGTTCGCAGCCCCCAATGACCGCGATGCATCATTCTGATGTGGTAGGACGTCACTATGCTGGACCCCCCAGCAGCCCTTGAAAGCGGCAGCAGTTTCGCAGTTCGCAACCCCCAGAGACGGTGATGTTCCATTATGAGGTACGCAGGGCGTCACGATGATAAACCCCCCAGCAGCTTTCGAAAGTGGGGACAGCTGCGCAGCCCGCAGCCCCCAAGGGCAGCGAGGTCTCATTCTGATGAGCGCAGGACGCCACAATGGTGGATCCTCCAGCACCCCGCAAAAGTGGCGACAGTTTCGCAATCCGCAGCCCCCAGGGACGGCGAGGTCTCATCCTGATGCACGTAGGACGTCACTACGCTAGCGCTCCCAGGAGCCCACGAAAGTGGCGACAGATTCGCAGTGTTCAGCCCCGAGGGACGGCGAGGTTTCTGATGTGTGTAGGACGTCACAATGCTGGGCCCCCCAGCAGCCTTTGAAAGTGGAGCCAGCTGCGCAGCTCGCAGCATATCAGTGACAGCGCGTTCACATTCTGATGTGCACAGGACGTCACTCTGGAAAGGGGGGCTCCTCGGCGATTCAAGCAGACAAGTTCCTCGACGATCTGTTTATGCAATGGCTCTTCGATTCAAGCTGACACTTCTACAGAAAGTGAACTGGTGTTTAGATCCTGCCACAACTCAGCTTGTGTCTAAAATTGCTGCGGTGAGCGGCGCAGGGAAGAGAGCGCCGGCACACACACGCAGCCACCTACCGCCCCAACCAACCTCCATGGAAGCCATATTCAGTGCGAAAAATCTCATTCAAATTATTGATTTTTCGGGCCCTGTCCGAAGCCATCCGCCCCCGAAGAGATGGCAGATAGCTCCGCCAGGCCACCCTCACGGGGGAAACCTGCAAGCCCGATTCGCCCAGCATTCGCTGGAAAAAAGGGTTGGAATTGAAAACGCTAACTGCTTTAGCGATTAGTTTACACCAGTGGGGGTGAAACGGAAGAATCAACCACACTGGGGTGCAAGTCTCCCTTGGGCGCGGGGGGCTCCTGGGAAAAATACCCTCCAACAGAGATGAATTGAAGCATGCGTTGGTGAGCCGATTTCTGAATTCAAGTTTGACGTCCTTCTCCTGGCTGGTGTGGCTGCAAAATGCTAGCATGGTCTGGAGCATGGCCCTGGGCCAGGACCGGTGCACAGACCACGGGTGCGCACTCGTTGACGCCAGTGGGATCGTCAAAGTTGTGATCTTAAACGCTGGCTTTACAGAAAAAGCTCCTCCTGCGATGCAAACCGACAGTTGGAGCCAATGCGACTCCTCGACATGCCCTTCGTCCAAAACCAAACGGAAATATCTGGATCGGTGTTGCATGATACGAAGAAAGGCACTGAACTTTGCAAAGTCACGATATGCAATCAAAATGTCGTCCTTGAACCTCATGTAAACAGATACCTGGAAATGCATGCGTACATATTGCGAGCACGCCCAGGATTCTAAACGGTTTGCAAGGGCCACATCTGCCACTTCCCCAGAATGGATCAATCCCATGCCAGAGCCCACAACGACTTGGTGCCTGTGGTTTGGCCAGTGTGGTGATGACACGTACTGATGCGAAAGTAGTAACTGCAAAGCACGCTGAACGAGTGCTTTCTGAGCGCCTGTCATGTGAGACGTCGCATCCTGTATTAACTCGTCCATGGACCCAGACATGAAGTAGTCCTTGATGTCAATTTTCGCCAAGCGGGTGCCTGGCGCAGCGTGGCGGCCACGAAGATGCCGCGCAGCATCGACAGCATCGCGGACCAACCAGGGCAGATCGGAAAGATGTCTTCGAAGAACTCCCGATACCCACTTGGATAGCCCAGCGAAGGAATACTGCGCGCTACAATGCAATGCCCGGAACGTCACTGGAT